CCACTGAAGCAGAATAATGCAGATCTTCTTAAGTACTTAAAATATTAGCTTGCAAATCCAATAATCAAAGAAGAAAAATCTCAATATTTACATCTGACAAATTTATACAACTAAATATCTTTCATTTAGAGCATGCCTAGCAAACGTAAAAGCAGTTTCTGTTGCAGAATACAATAGGCTTAAAATCAACTTTCCGAACAGATGTTTTTAATAAACATTTCAGAAGTCAAGTGTCATTATTGCCTTCTGTCCCAAAAATTAGGCTAATCAGGAATATGGTTTGTTCTAGAGATGTTAAGGACTAGTCGACTCCCCGATAAGCACTTGCTTATCAAATAGTCGGTCAAGTAGTCAACTCCCCCCTCTTGCTTCCTTTATCAAATAGAGTCAGCAAAGAGGGGTGGGAGGGGGAGAGAGAGGAAGTACTTCAAAGCAGCAGCACCGCACAGTTGAGCCCGGGATTAGCTGTGCAGCGCTGCCGCTTTGAAACTCCACCTCAGCATTTGAAAAGAAGAGTGCCGCACAGCTGAGTGGGGCTCAGCTGTGCAGCTGCCCCTTTGAAACGCCATGGCAGCATTAAAAGGGGCAGCACTGCACAGCTGAGCCTGGGCTCAGCCGCACACCCCAGCTGACCCAGGGTTCCACAAATGCCATGCAGAGCTGGGATCAGTCCCCAGCTGATCCCAGTTCTGCATAGCATTTCAAATAGGCAGCACAGCTTGGAGCCTGGGGTCAGTGGGGGCTCTTTTACATTTCAAAGCTGGCACGCCACATGCAGGCCGGAGTCTGTGGGACTTCCCCGCTGGCCCTGGGCTGCATGTGGAATTCCTCATTCCTCCTTTGAAATGTACAAAGGAGGAATGCAGAAATGCCTATCAACTAGTCAAGCAGTCGCATAGGAAGTAATTACTGGCACCCACAGCCACTAACCCTTTTACTTTTCCACCTCTACAATCAGATAGTGGTCAGATGGAATTCTGAAAAGCACCTACGATATTTAGAAGCACAAGTCCCACTGACTTCCAGTGTGTCTTGTAATCCTAAATACAGTAAAACTCCAATAGTCCGGCATCAAAATGGCAAGAGCCTAGTGAGTGAGCTTCGGCGAAAAATGAGTCACAAGGTACCAGCGGCAGCAGCTGAACTGAGCAAAAAGGGTAAAAAAGGCTTAAAAAAACTAAAACATTACAGTATACTGTATACAGTATGTACAATAAAAAGAGTTAAGAACACGTTATATACAGTATATAATGTATACAGTATATATATAACCAGTTTATAGTACCTCCTGATAGTCCGGCATATCTGATAATCCGGCACCACCTAGGTCCCATAGGTTCCGGATTATCAGAAGTCTACTAAACTAGGATGACCAAAAAAATCCAACTTCTTGTTTTCATTTCTCAAATATTATACCCAAACTTCAGACATCAGGAAGAAGTTAATTTCCTTGATTAGGATGAGCCTGGAACAGTGGTTTAAAGGAAGATCCAAATGCCATTTTAAAAAAAAGATACTTTGACCTTGACCTGAACTCTACTGCTTTTTTAAATTAAGTGCCTAACAATAATGTTTTATCACTTACCAGTTCTCCAAGCCAATGAACATCTCCCACTATTTCTCTATTCTCCTCATCCATTTTCAAAGATCTTATGGCAGTAACATTCTGCTGCACAGCAACTGCAATTAACTATGATCTCAACAAGCAGCTCAGGCTTGCTGCCAATATACCAATCTTTAATGCAGTGAAGCACATGACTTCAGATGGACTACAACATTTCAGTCTTAATAGAACAAATTTTAGTTCTGAAAAGATATTTGTTCATACAATTCCTTAATACACAGCATTATACTTGTAATGATTATTATTCTTGCAGTCCCTGTGTATCAATAGTGCTCAACAAAAGTCACAATATAGGCTAACATACTGAGAGAAATTTATTGCACAACTATAGAAAATGCATGCAATAAATAGGTTAATAGAACAGATTTGAAAATTCCTGTGGTACTAGTGTCTACCCCTTTCAGATAGTAAATAAACTCAAAATCCTGGCCACACATGATAACTGAAATCTTTTAGCATTTTCTGCAAAAGTAAGTCTATTATCCTCAGCATCTTGCACCTTTTTGCCTATACCTATGGGACGAGACAGCATGACTACCAATATTTTTTATTTAGGTCTGCAAACCTTAACCAAGATTGACTGGGGATCTGTTATGCAGATCTCTGTGCAAAGTAAAAAAAAATCCTACCCGCAAAAATGTTTGCAGTCTTACATTAACACCTCAAGAGAGGCAAAACAAAGTAAAAAAAATCCTACCCCCAAAAATGTCTGCAGTCTTACATTAACACCTCAAGAGAGGCAAAGTGACTTGCCTTGAGTCAGGGCAAGTCAGTGACTGAACTGAGACTATAATCCAGGTCTAATTCCCAGTTAATGTCCTATAAAATAAAGCATGCTTCCTCTATAGTTTCATATTTGTGTCACTTTAACTATAAATGTTTATCAAAAACATAAATTTTAAGAGTGTTACTTCCATAATTAGAGTGAAGTATTTTTTTAAATGTCTTACTTGTGTTTTTAACAATATTTTACAAATCCAGTTTGGTTTTCACTATTTACTTCACTTCATTTATCTTGCAAGTGAAAAACATGAGAATCCACTTTTTGTTTTATATACTGTATATTAGTGCAACGTAGTTGCATTTTCAACACTGAAACAACTGGTAAGTACCAAAAAGCTTCACTAACATTTTAGAATATTTGGTAAACATATTTGCTCATACTGTATTTTGTAAAGATTTATTGTATGAATTATTTATGGAAACTGAACTACAAGCATTCCCTTTTAAAAATACTTTTTGAATACTTCCGAAATAATATTTTCAACCATGCATTCAACCTATCTGAAACTTTACTTTGGGATTTTTTTTCCCTATTTCCTATGCTTTTTTGGGGGTCTCTTATACCAAGATCACTGACT